TCCTTTGTTTCCAAGCAAGCCTAGTTGTTTTTTACAAAATAAATAGATGTTATGGTGTTTGCAGACAGGGATTACGTTATTTGCAGCTTTGTCTACCGTAACAACTATAGAATTGATTGAAATCCTGATTAACAATATCAAAATTGTCTCAAGTTTTAACACATTTGTTTTCGATGGCCTTGACAGTAGTAAAAGTAATTTATTTCAGGTAAACATGACGTAGCCCTTAACACTAGCATTCTACCGACCACAGATAATTACATCATACCGTATGAGCGTTTAGAATAAGTCGTTTGTATGGCAAGCAAACTTAACATTTATTCAAGGAGCAATGTCGATCCTGTATTTCGAAAAAAAATATAAGATATCTTATATAGCATATGAGATATCTTATATACTATATAAGATATCTTATATCGTATATAAGATATCTCATATAGTATATGAGATACCTTATATAGTATATGAGATATCTTATATAATATATAAGATATCTTATATACTATATGAGATATCTTATATAGAAATTAAATGAGATGTTATATAAGATATCTTATATCGTATATAGGATATCTCATTTAATTTTCTATATAAGATATCTTATATAATATATAAGATATCTCATATAGCTTTATAAGATATCTTATATATTAAAGTCTCGTTACTAAATAAGATATCTTATATAGGAACGAGATTTTAACAAAATGTCGAAAATGAAGTCTCCCCGTCCGGAATATCTCGAGGATCTACGTAGGGACAATAGGCTTGTTGTAACAACACGTGTTCCTGTCGCCGCCATTATGTCTGAGCCCACTTCAAGAGTGCGGGAAATGGCAGCCTCTGCTTTTGCCGCTATAAGAGAGACAAGGCCAGCTAGGACTAGGGAAAATACAGCAGATTCCATCTATGAAAGGACAATGCAATCCTGAATGTGCTCCGAATGATTCTCGAGGGAGAAATAAGTTTCTGGTTTTTAATGCCACGAAATTTCATTCTATATCAGATATCTTATATAGCAACGTGATTTCAATTATATAAGATACCTTATATAATATATGAGATATCTTATATATTATATGAGATATCTTATATAGAAAATTAAATGAGATATCTTATATGCGATATAAGATATCTTATAAAGTATATATGATATCTTGTATAAGATATCTCATTTAATTTCTATATGAGATATCTTATATATTATATAAGATATCTTATATATTATATAATATATCTCATATCGTATATAAGATATCTCATATCGTATATAAGATATCTTATATCGCATATAAGATATCTTATATCTTATATAAGATATCTCATATATATATATAAGAAATCTTTATTGTATATGAGATATCTTATATAATTATATAAGATATCTTATATAATTCGATGAAATACAGGATCGACATTGCTCCTTGAATAAATTTTAAGTTGACTTGCCATACGTTTGAAGCTTTTACAATTTTGATCAAAGTGTACTTGAACGGCTCAAAGGAAGCAAAGACAGAACTGTACACATTATAAAACTTCTGGATCACAATTCATCTCCATAAGACCCTCCAATCTTCCCGGCATTGCTTGTTTATGTATAAGATCAAAATTCGATAAGGAATAGCATCCTTCCACAAAAGATATACACAATTTCCATGCTAAACATATTAACTCGATTGCAGACTTGACAAAACACGTTCTCAATCGGCTTCAAAATACCGAGTACTGCATCAGCTTTGTCACCAATCTCTGTGTGTCGTTAAACATTGACATTTACACCGGAACAGATCAATACTGATTACGAGACAGGGCGGGGAGGATCACGCGCATACAATCACGAGACACGTTCTTGGCTGACCCCATTTCAGAACCTGACCCCGGGAAAAAGTATGTAATGTTTAAATTAGCCCATGTATTTTCCATATTACTTGATCATGTAATACATATCCTTTCCAATTATCTTAGACTTAGTTTTGCAATACCGAATACATTTCCAGACCTCATGTGACGCAGTCATTATGAAAATTAAATAGATTACGGAACGTATGTATATAAAAAAAATGTCTTCGGAGCAATTTACTACGGTTGTGTATTATACTACAGCAAAATGAGTTTAACTGGCAACGCGGAGCGGAGCCAGTGAATGCGGATATTGGCGACGATAAAATCACGAACAAACGATGCAAATCTCAACATACAGTAGGGCTGTTTCTATTCTAATTTACTTTCAATTTTATTGACGCTCGAACTGGTTTATGCATTGATGATAGACTAAACAGGGCCTAGCAGCCACCATTGCATTGCCAAGCAAGATCCCGAGTCTGGTCATGGGTTAGCTTAAGATAGCCGCCAAGGTGGCCCTTCCCTTGTAAATAACCTGACATTATCTGCGGCAATACAGCGACATTAACAGGGTTCGTATCAGTCACTACGAAAATTCGCTATTGTCGTTACTATAAGAAGATGTCTCGCAGCCACGGTTTCCTCAGTTTATGACGACATGTCAAATAACGAGACTGTTATAGAATCTACCGACTGTAATCAGATTCCCATACAATCAACAAATAAAATCACGTCTGGATTCTTCACAAAATGAGCAAAGAAGTTCGAATTAACTTCCAAAAATAACTCCCTCGTGGAGGGCAAGGTCGGATTTTCGGTGTTCACTGTATTGATCCATGCGCCAAATTTGTTCCGGAGAAAAACCGAAACCATTTCAAATCTAACTTACTAATTCCCCCGCTCCTATATAAACCAGAACTGTAAGCTTAAGGCTAACTAAGCATTGCAAATTAATCCTTGGTCTCCCACCAGTTCTATTGATAGACTTAAATCCCCCTATAGACATATCATACGCAATTGTATTGATACTGAGTTGTGAAATAAAATTGAAGTGTTTGTTAAAATTTCAAAATACTACTTTGTTTGCCAATCAGCACGCGACAACACGCTGTTCCAACTATTGAACGAATTTGTGTGGACTGTCGATAAGGCGGGAATTTTAAATTTTAAATATAAATTTTAAGTTAACAAAGAACATAAGAGGCAGAGATAACGTAAATATAAGTATTGAACTGTTTTTGTATGGTTTTTATGATCTATTTGAATGACACAGCTTTGCAAGCAAACAAATCATAATGCGCGCTAGTATTTAAGATTTCAAGGTCTCTATTTAAAGCGCAGTAGATCGTCGGACGGATAGGTAATAACGTCATAGTATGAGGGGTCGTTTAAATTTAGTAATGTCAGTACTGCACAGGTAGCAAAACTTGTATCAAGTCTAGACTGCAAGAAATCTACTGGGATGGACGGAATTTCTGCCAAAATGCTAAAAGCAGGATCCGAGGCCCTAAGCATCACCGCCATCTTACACAATCTTCTACTGGAGAAGATGCGAGCCTATAGGCTGGATGAGACTGCAGTCAGTTTCGTTGGTAGCTACCTCAGTGGCAGACAGCAGCGGATTAGACTTGGCCCCGATGTCGGCGAAAGGAAGCTACTGAGGAAGGGAGTCCCCCAGGGGTCTATTGTCGGCCCACTGATTTTTAACATTTTTCCTATCGACATTTTTACGTTTCTAAAAGACTGCGATTTGTACAATTATGCTGATGACAATACCCTTTCATATATCAGCAAGTGTTCTTCAAACCTTAAACTTACTCTAGAAAAAAGAAAGCAAATTTTTACTAAACTGGTTTTCAGTAAATGGTATGAAAGCAAATCCTAGCAAATTTCAGGCCATATGTATAGGGAAACAACATTAAATCCTTTTCTATTGGAGACCAGGTAATTGAATGTAAAAAAGTGTGACTCTGCTAGGTGTGGAGATTGACTCTTTATTGAAATTTGACGACCATGTATCTTAGATCTGTAGAAAGGCCTCCAAACAATAAGATATTTTGAAAAGAATTGGAAATAGTCTTACCAAAAAAGGAAAGATCACCATTTTTAAATCTTTTATTTCATCTAATTTTCATTACTGCCCCCTAGCCTGGCATTTTTGTAGCCTGAGCAACACTCGAAAGATGGAAAAGATACAGGAAAGGGCTCTGCGTTTTATTGAAAACGATTTTACCTCACCTGTGTTAGATATTTTACGCAGAAACAACCTCACATTTTTACACTTTGTTAGAATGAAGACTATGGCTACAGAAGTCTTTAACATTTTAAATGGGTTAGCTCCAGAATTTTTAAATTATTTGATTGTTAAATATAATGTTGAATATAAATGTTGAATAAAATTTCAGGCAAGAGAACACCATTCAGGTACCAAGAGTTAAAACAACAAGGTATGAAAAAAGTCTTTTCGTTTTGAGGCTGCCCAAGTGTGGAACAGTTTGCCGAATGAACTGAGGAAAGTAGAAAATGTCCAGAGCTTTCGCAGACTGCTGCACACTTGGGACGGCCAGTTGTGTTCCTGCGCCATATGTAACTAGTCTTGCATGTTTGTTCCAACCTTTATTTATCATTTTTATACTTAGTTTTTTACCATGTCTTGTGATACCATGCTTCTATGCTTTTAATTCCTTTCATTTTTTATTTATTTTTTTGCTTAGTGCTCTTACTTCGCATTGTATGACTTACTCAATGCTTTTCAAATCATCTTTTAATTTATGCTATATTAGCATATATTCGGTAAATTTTTAACTCATGCCATATTGACATTTATGTATATACTGAACCATGGTTTCTTAGTTTGTGAGCATGTGGCATGAATCTTTTGTGCAGCATCAATTTTAATATAGATTTATATATATACTTTGTTCTGTACGTGCCAAGTTTGTTTTTAATTACTGCATGCTGTGATTTAAATTTGTTCTTGTCTGCTTGCTATATGCCTGTTGTTTTCTGCATGTTGTCTTATATATCCTGTTTTATACCTTTGTTTTAATAGCGCTACTGTACAGAACTAATTATATATATGTACGGTGACAAGGCCCTGGCATCTTTAAACATTTCAGCTATGCGCATGTTTTCATGCATTTCCGGTATTGCAGCTCAGCTGTTTCCGGTGTTTAGACAACGTGGGACATTTAACGAAGATGGACAAGATACAGAATGGCTGGTTCAGTGAGATGAGTGAATTATGGCCAGGCCAGGCGATGTCACTTCAAGTGGAGTCTGTACTTTTTGATGAGAAATCAAAATATCAAGATGTTCTTGTATTTAAAAGGTACGTTCACTTAGAAAGTGCCATCGGCTAACCAGGGTTCTAAACATCATTATAATACTGTTATCTTGCCACGTGTTATTCTAATTTTGTTTCAAAACTTGTGTATTGTCTTTGATTTCTTTGAGACGTTATGTTAGTTCTAAATACGACACATACATGAATTTGATGTACAGCGATCTGATCTCATCTTAAGGACTTCCCACCCTTCGTAATACACATGTTTTTCTTGTCGTATTTTTCGTGTCGTCATTACCGTATTGAGTATAGGCATTCCATTACCGTTGTATAAATTATAGTAAAACCGGGTAAACAATAGTACACATGCGTGACGATGATATGTCAACACACGATATGGAGACTTAACTGGGAAATGTGTAATCGTACTTCAGAAATAAAGCTTATGATACAAAGACATTAATTAACTCACGAGAAGACACTGCATAAGATAAGACGACTTCAAGAAGGTCGTATATGAGGCGCATGGAATACAGACTGATGCGTTTTGTTTACCAACCTCACCATAACGTATCACGTACTAACAGTAGTTCAAAAGCTCTCGGTCGCTACAACTTTTATTGTCGAGCGAGTTACGCTCTGTCAGATAAATCTTTTAACAAACACGTGATAACGGCTACCATGCGATAGCCTATGATTACTTATGTACCTGACATGTAAATAAGCAAGCTATTGAACGGTAAAGGGTTTTTTCGCCCTGATTCCCGTTCGCGTTAAGGGTTGGTTCGCCCGAGGTTGTTTCGCCCTAAAATAATTTTTTTAGTTTATATATTTAAATATCAGTTATTACATTAGCGTATACCTATTGATAACTTTCTATATTGTTGTTAGATATATTTCATTTAGAAAAATACACAACTGTGTGAGTGCGGAGTCAGCTTTTCACAGCTGCCATTTGTCACACTCGCTTAAAAACAACACAAACACATGCTTTTTATAAAATTCATTTTAGTTTAATGGAAGACTAAGAAGACTAATTTGTGACTTAAAACAACTAAAATTGAAATGAAAATATCAAACAATGTTTCCCACTTAAATTTTTGTTTTAGGGCGAAACACCCTAGGGTGAACGGGATTTCGGGCGAAACAACCCGGAACGCTATGGAACGATGTCCAAAGTGTACATGATTGAGAGTAATTTTGTTCCATAAAAGAACAGTAAATTGACAATTAAATATAGGAATTTAATTCATTCGTTTTTGGTACAGTAAAGAAAATAAGTGTCATTGTAAAAATTCTATCCCTCTGCAAAAAGTTCCATTTTTTTCAAGGTAGACAACTCTCATCAGGATCAAAATTATTGTAAAATGTAAAATAAATGAGTTATAAAGACTGTGTTTATTTGGTTCTATTGTTCACTGTATGAAACTATGTGTACTGTTTGCTTATAGCTTGTATTTAGTAACTTTTTTCCAAACGATTTCAATAAAAACGCTTTTTGTAACATGTTGTAGATATTTTATGATAATTAAAATATTTGTAGGGTTGATTAGCAATGTTTCTTTTCATTTTTTTATTGTTGTTATAGTTTCGAACAATGCCACATGCTCAAAAAATGTGAAAGTGTTGAATTTGACAAAAAAAATATCTGGGTTTTTTACCAAACAATCCCCAGTTTATCAGAATGGTTAGAATTTCATAAAATCATCTCTACATAGTGACATCAACATTATGTGAAACTTTCATTAAATTCTGCTGGCTAAGTGCAAAAGGGTAGAGCCTCCTTAAAGAAGAAGGGGCATGAGGTTGATTAGTCTAAAAGAAACATATGAAAACATGCAACATCATCGCATGCTCCGTAATTCTAACCTGTCGCCTGTTCTGATCCAGAAACAGGCGACCGATCAGAATTTTGGAGCTTGCATATTTGGTAAGTTTAAGCAGACTAGAGGTTGATGGCCTACGTACTGAACCAGGTAAATCTGACTTACAAAATATACTAGCGGAAAAAAGAAACTGTGCATGCCTAAAATGTGTTATAAAAATAAATGTGTATGATGTAGAACAACAAGGTTTTCAGGGACAATTTATTTGTTATTTATTAACAGTTGCATTCAATTTCCACGTTATGGAATAAATAAGTTCCGCGTAGGAGTGACGTAAACACAGCAGGGGTCAATACTGAGTTCACAAAGTTAATACCTCGTATATCAGACGGTTCAAGAATGCAATTGGGATGGCATTCCAGATCTGTACCAACGCTGCAGGCAAATCAGCCAACAGCAGGCCAGGGCAACACATCAACGTTCTGAAGGGCCAGAAAGTCCATAGCGACACAAGCTGTGTGTGGGCTGGCGTTGTCCTGCTGTAGCTTAGTGTGACGTTGCTGCCCTTGCACGAATGGAACGACGTGGGTCCGGAGGATCTCATCACGGTAACGTAGCGCGTTCAAATTCCCGTTAACAACCACCTGAGGCATTCCCCGTTGGCTGTGATGCCGCCCCAATTCATAACGCTGCATCCGCTGAAAGAAAGTCGTTGTACCACACATGCGTCACGGAAACGTTCCCAACGCGACGATACACTCTGGAACGGCCGTCACTACTATCCAGGTGGACTCGCCACTCGTCCGTAAACAAAATGCCTGCCCAATCCCGTTGAGTAAATCGCAGATGCCTTCTGCACCAGTCCAGACGTGCTACAAGATGACATGGCAGAAGAACTGGGCGGATTGAAGGACGTCGCGGACAGATAGCTCGTTCACGCAATCAGTTCCGTACAGTTCTCGGGCTTATTGGTAGCAACCCAGGAATTGTCCGTGCAGTCAAACTTGCCATTTGGAAGTGATTGCTCAAATGGACAAGCTGAATATGGTTGTCCTGTTGATGTGACGAAACATGTGGACGTCCCGAACGAGGTCGATCGCCGACGTGGCCAAACTGTTGATGTCGTCTCCACAAATCCCGGATTGTGTTTCGATGGACATGAAAACGTGTAGAGACAACAGCTTGGCCCATACCAGCTTGAAGCATACCAATAATCCGGAGGGGGTCATTTTCATTGAGCCTCAGCATAGCATTAATCATAAATTAAAACGTTATAATGCTGTTTTTACTATTCACTGGTCTCAACAGAGTGACCCAACAGTTGAAAAATAAACTTTCATTGTCGAATTGGATGGCTGGACGATATATATGTGCAAACTGGTCAACGCCTATAGAGAGCAAACTGCACGGGAAAAACTGTCAATGATACACGGATAGTGTGTATGTGTCATACTCGGTCATGTGTATGAATTTTCATGTATATACAGTTGGTAATACATGTTCTATAACCATTCTCTGCATGCACAGTTTCTTTTTTCCGCTAGTATATGTAAGTTTTTGTGATAATTCATAAAATTAAGTGTAACAGGAGAAAGAGAAAATGAAACAGCCAGACTGGGGTTGGAACCCAGGACCCTCCAAACTCTAGACGGATATTCTACCAATTCAGCTACCTAGTCGCTGACGATCGACTTAGTCCAGTTCCGCTTCATTCCTCCTCCTTTTCCAGAGTTTTCGCCCCCAACAACTATTTACAACTCAAGATTGGGTATCCCCTTGCTAAGCGTACTGCCAATGCTTGAAACAAGGGTTGGTAAGCTAGCCAATTCTGTAACAGGAAAAAGAGAAAATGTAACGGCCAGACTGGGGTTCACCCCTGGACCCTCCAAACTCTAGACGGTTGCTCTACCAATTGAGCTACCTGGTCGCCGACGATCGACCTAGTCCAGTTCCGCTACATATGTGATGACATTATGATACTGAACTAAAGCCAAGTCATATAATCAAATGATGTTCATAAAAAAAGTGGACATGTAGGATACTTTGTACAGAGATAGCGGAAACTTGTTTCTGTTTTAAGACTTGGGTACTGTAAGGGGCCACCGGCAAATAAGGCTATATAGGTAGATTTGGTTATATAGTCAAATATGACTATACTTATATAAGAGAAATGTAAACAAACAAGCTGATACTTGAATTTTTTATCTTGTGCACATTGTTGTTGACCAAACAGGTGAGCCGGTGAAATTAAACCTTATTGTCTAATTACACAACTTCATTGATTTGGTGAATTTCCATCATTGCATTTTTGTCCTGTCAACATTTCTCCCTTATTAGCATAAAACTAAAACGCATGTCTTTTTAGTATGGTGTAAACAATGTCTTCCCGAAGATAAGCTTCCCTAAAATGCAGATTCCCACCTCAGACGTGCTTTCGGAAGATACTAGTCATAGGAAAGATAACCTGCAGTGAAAGTTGTCTGTGTGCCAAGAGGGAGTGACATATTTGGTGTTTTGGTACAGAAATTGTTACTAGTCCTGTCCTACTGTCAGATTCAGGTGGTGAAAGATGCTACAGGTAGTGCCAACAATAAAAAAAACAATTTTCAAATTGAGCTTTTAGATAAAAAATATTTTGTTGCATCAACTCGCCTGTTTGTTTGTCAAATACCTGAGACTATAACTTTTTTAATATTTCTATGCATTGTAATATATAATAACAAAACACAACTATAGCTATTTATGCCATAACATGTACTCTGCAATATATACAGTATATATATTTTTTCTATTTCAGCAAAACTTACGGAAATGTTCTAGTGCTAGATGGGGTTATACAGTGCACAGAAAGAGATGAATTTTCATATCAAGAGATGCTGGCTCATCTGCCTCTAAACTCTCACCCTAACCCAAGGAAGGTGAGTGGATTCTATGACCTTAATAAACCTTCTCATATCGAAGTTATGCCCTGTTTTGTATTGAAAAACAAAACTGTACTTTTCACAATTGCCATGGACACATTTAAATCATATGAAAAGTATTCACCCCTGCCCCAGCTGACTTATAACTGGTGATTATCAAGGAACAGGAAATATTGTATTTGCAATAAAACCTGTCTAATCTGATACCCTGTAAGACACACATTATTGGTTACATTACAACAGGATGTCAGAATATGGAGGCCTTATTTGGCTATTTGGTAGTTTTTGTAAGAAATGTGGTTGCAGGCTATCATTAAGCTGATTAAACAGGATATTTGAATATTCAGGAGTCGGATAAGACAGGATGTCTAAATATTAAGGTGTTGTGTTGGACATATTTCACTGTACACTATTGTATTTGCAAAAGATGAACATGTTCTAAAATGACAGAACTTGTTCTTTTTGGTGTGTCAACATGAATTCAGAATTAAACCACAGTATTAAAAATTGAGTATTTTATTATTTTTCACAGTGGAAGATGTTTACACCTATTACGTTTTGTTCATCTTGGGCCATTTTTTATATTGGAATATTTGTGTGAAATATTCGATAGCTGCATTTCGGAACTATGAAGATGTCATTTGTTTTGTAGCTTGCTAGGATAGAAGGATTAAATGACTACTGTCCTACCTGATCCTAGGTATCTCAGATGTATTCAGTTAATTATTTTGACCCACTTTCCATCAAGGTCACTGAGGTCAAATGTGTTAAATTATATCATATTCACAACCATGAGACCTAGAATAATGAAATTTGACAAGTGGTTGTATGACCCTTCCATGTCTTTAAATTTGTTCTTATTGTCGACCTTGGTCATCTTTTATGGTCACATGGTTCAGTTTATGTTGATAACTGTGAGAATTTTTTTCTAAAGACTAATGAGACCTAGAGATCTGCACATGAGTTTGTAGTTTATAGAGGGGACAACTGTTACAGTCAGTTCATGCATATTTATGAATTACTTTGATCCACTTAAAGTTTATTATTGATGCAGATTTCAACGTGTGGAATATTGTTATATTTTTCTATTGATTTTCAGGTGCTAATTATTGGTGGGGGAGATGGTGGGGTACTGCGAGAGGTTGTCAAACATCCAGAGGTGGTTTCAGTCGAAATGTGTGAAATTGATGAGGTAAGCCTCTTTAGTAAATTAAGTTCAAAGACATACTCACCTTATAAAATTATCAAATTGCAAATTTAAATAAAAATGACAGTGTCTGTCTATCTGTCTGTTCATCCATCCACACTTTTGTGTTCCTAATAAGTTATCTAAGAACCTTCCTGATATTCCTGCACATTAGGGTTACAGTCCCTTTCTTGGAATCCAAAAGACTGAACTTATTTTTAACTTGACATAGTGATGTACTGTGATATGTAGATATGTGTTATAGGGGTTGATATTTAACACGGCCTAGTGATGCACTGTGATATGTAGATATGTGTTATAGGGGATGATTTTTAACACGGCCTAGTGATGCACTGTGATATGAAGATATGTGCTATAGGGGTTGATGTTTAAATCAACATAGTGATGCACTGTGATATGTAGATATGTGCTATAGGGGTTGATGTTTAACTTGGCCTAGTGATGCACTGTGATATGTAGATATGTGCTATAGGGTTGATGTTTAACTCGACATAGTGATGTACTGTGATATGTAGATATGTGTTATAGGGGTTGATGTTTAACTCGGCCTAGTGATGCACTGTGATATGTAGATATGTGTTATAGGGTTGATGTTTAACTCGACATAGGGATGTACTGTGATATGTAGATATGTGTTATAGGGTTGATGTTTAATTCGACATAGTGATGTACTGTGATATGTAGATATATGATATAGGGTTGATGTTTAACTCGACATAGTGATGCACTGTGATATGTAGATTTGTGCTATAGGGTTGATGTTTAACTCGACATAGTGATGAACTGTGATATGTAGATATGTGTTATAGGGGTTGATGTTTAACTCGACATAGAGATGCACTGTGATATGTAGATATGTGCTATAGGGGTTGATGTTTAACTTGGCCTAGTGATGCACTGTGATATGTAGATATGTTTTATAGGGTTGATGTTTAACTCGACATAGTGATGAACTGTGATATGTAGATATGTGTTATAGGGGTTGATATTTAACTCGACATAGTGATGTACTGTGATATGTAAATATGTGTTATAGGGGTTGATGTTTAACTTGACAAAGTGATGTACTGTGATATGTAGATATGTGCTATAGAGTTGATGTTTAACTCGACATAGTGATGCACTGTGATGTGTAGATATGTGTCATAGTGATGTACTGTGATATGTAGATATATGATATAGGGTTGATGTTTAACTCGACATAGTGATGCACTGTGATGTGTAGATATGTGTCATAGTGATGTACTGTGATATGTAGATATGTGCTATAGGGTTGATGTTTGATATTTAACTCGACATGGTGATGCACTGTGATGTGTAGAAATGTGCTATAGGGGTTGATTTTTAACTCGACATAGTGATGCACTGTGATGTGTAGATATGTGCTATAGGGGTTGATGTTTAACTTGGCCTAGTGATGCACTGTGATATGTAGATATGTGTTATAGGGGTTGATATTTAACTCGACATGGTGATGCACTGTGATGTGTAGATATGTGCTATAGGGGTTGATTTTTAACTCGACATAGTGATGCACTGTGATATGTAGATATGTGTTATAGGGGTTGATATTTAACTTGACATAGTGATGCACTGTGATGTGTAGATATGTGTTATAGGGGTTGATTTTTAACTCGACATAGTGATGCACTGTGATATGTAGATATGTGTTATAGGGGTTGATGTTTAACTAGACATAGTGATGCACTGTGAT